CATACACAAGCAATGCAACCGTTACACACAATGCATCCCTTACACACACAGAAACACACAATGCTTTCTTTACACACACTCAATGCACCCCTTACACAGACTCAATGCATCCCGTACATACACAGAAACACACCTTGCAGCCTTTACACATACAAACACAGATTCACACAATGCATTCCTTACACACATATCAGGACATCCCCTACACACTCCACCCCCTGTGAACAAACTCATTGGTGAAACATGAAGGTGGACCCTGGGACCCAGACCTTGAGCTGTGTAAAGGGCCCCCAAAAAATGGAGCTGCTTCCCGTTCTCCCAGAACATTGATTTTTGTGACCACAGCTACAAACCGCCTCCAGAGAGCCTGTTTTACAGCAGACCAGTGGAGCCAGACTGCAGCTAGAGCCCATCATCATCCTCATCTGGTTGTAAGTAGGCAATCTAGTATATTATTCGTGGCACTAATCTCTAATTGACCTCACATTAAAGAAACACTATAGACCCCAGAACCACTGCAGCTTAATGTAGTGGTTCTGGTGTCTATAGCCTGTCCCTACAGGCCTTTTAATGTAAACACGGCGGCACTGCAGCACTGGCGTTAGATAACATGGCAAATCATATGGGTGGGGCATTGTGATGTCACATGGGGGGGCGGAAAACTTTACTTTTGCCTAGGGCGGCAAAAATCCTTGCACCGGCCCTGGCTGGAGGGGGCTGTGTGAGCTGTGGCCACACAGTGCCCCATGGTAGTTAGGGTGCCGTGCGGCCAGTACAGCTCACACAAGCAAACAGTTGATAAACTGGCCGCACAGAGGAAAAGTGGGGCGGAGCTAAGCAAAATCGGAGGCGGGGCCAAACTGGTGCTGGGGGCGGGGCAAGGGGGTGCCAAGCACAGGATCCACCCCGGGTGCCAAATGCTCTAGGTACGCCCCTGTGGGTCATTGCCTTTATTTATCACAGACGGGATATATATGGTGATGTATGGGTGGAGGGCTATATGTATGGGTTGAATTTGCACTATATGTCTGTTCAGGTGTAATTCACCTCTTTCATTTTATGTGCACCCACACATATCATATATCTTTTTATTCGGGAGAAATAGGACTAATATGAATAAAATATAAAAAAAACAAATGAGAAATTTGAAATTGTGTTATTTTTTAGTTCTGCGTGGCATTTTAACTGTGAATGTCATAATACTGTTAGCTGTTACTGCAATAAAGTACACATATTTGTATTCAGCGATGTCTCACGAGTAAAACAGTACCCCCAATGTACAGGTTTTATGGTGTTTTGGAAAGTTACAGGGTCAAATATAGCACATTACATTTTTCAGTTTATACACATTGAAATTTGCCAGACTGGTTATGTTGCCTTTGAGACCAAATGGTAGCCCAGGAATGAAAATTACCCCCATGATGGCATACCATTTGCAAAAGTAGACAACCCAAGGTATTACAAATGGGGTATGTCCAGTCTTTTTTAGTAGCCACTTAGTCACAAAAACTGGCCAAAGTTAGCGTTCATATTTGTGTGTGTGTTTGTGTGTGTGTAAAAAAAGCAAAAAACTAAATTGAACGCTAATTTTGGCCAGTGTTTGTGACTAAGTGGCTACTAAAAAAGACTGGACATACCTCATTTGCAATACCTTGGCATGTCTCCTTTTGCAAATGGTATGCCATCATGGGGGTAATTCTCATTCCTCGGATACCATACGGTCTCAAAGGCAGCATAACCAATCGGGCAAATTTCAATTTGAAAAAATGGAAATTCAAGCCTTATATTTGACTCAGTAACTATAGAAAACACCATAAAACCTGTAAATGGTGGGTACTGTTATACTCGGTAGACTTTTCTGAACACAAATATTAGTGTTTCAAAACAGTAAAACGTATTACAACAATATCGTCAGTGAAAGTACAGTTTATATGTGAAAAATGCAAAAAACATAATTTTCACTGACGATATCATCGTTGTGATATGTTTTACTGTTTTTAAACAATAGTATTTGTGTTCAGCGAAGTCTCCCTAATAAAACAGTACCCCCCATGTATAGGTTTTATGGAAAGTTACAGGGTTAAATATAAGGCATGCAAGCCAAATTCTCTGGACTTTCTGCCTGGGTTGTCGGGCAGGTCTCTCAGATTGTAATTTAAAAAAAGTTAATTATGTAAAAATATTATATAAATCTATTAGTAGAATTTAAATATGTATACATATGTATATATATATTTTTTTATTATTACTTTTTATTTATATATAGCTATATCTATCTATATATGTATTTATAACATCATTCTAAATATATTTTGAATTTAATATATATGTATATTAATATAAAAAAAGTTAGAACAAATTAAAACCGGTATGTAATTTTTTTAAGATTTATTTTTTATATTTTATTTTATTTTATTTTTTCAATTTATTTATTGATTACTTTTATATAATTAACGTCATTCTTAGTGTATTTTAATATTAAAATATATAATTATATATTAATATTAAAATGCACTTAGAATAATGGTTATGTATGTATATGTGCATATAAAAGTACTTTAAATATATATATGATCTAAGTACTTTTATTTACTTTATTAAACGTTTTATTAACTTTTATTAACTTTATAAACTTTTTTGCGACCGCCATCGTGGGATCGGCGGGGATCCGGTAAGTCCCCTGGACGGCGGGGATGTTCTATGCTGCCCTCCAGCATTTAGAGCCACCCCAAAAAGGACGGCATAGAAAGTGAAATTACATATCTAATTTATTTAAAGATATAAGAAATATGGGAAAGCTGAGCCGTTAGGGGAAGCCTATAGTTGTGGTTGGAGTTAACTGGCCTATAAATACACAGACCTCCTTTTCCTCTGGGCTGAGACTGCCTGGTTCAGTACAGATCCATCTACTTCTAATTCAAAGGTCATCAACACAAACTACCTAAACTCCAAACAAGCTGGTCTGGCCTAGTGTGGCCCACACAAATATTAATTTTACCTCACTCTAGTAAAAAACAGCCACCTCCTTCGAAGCTCATTGGGCACTGATGCGTCTGGCCCAGCCGTAGATATTCCTGTCGCTGTTTGCGCATTTATTACAGCAAAACCATAAGTTTGTTCATTCCGCCCGCGTTGGGCTATGCTGTCCCTGAAATTCAACATGTATATGCCCCATGTTCAGCCTTTCACTAACTAGGGTGGCATTCACAGATCAGTCTGTATCCTGCCCTAATTCGGATATGGCGATTTTCATTACTAACGCGAATTTGGCCCATTTTAATCATACATAGCATCATAGTGATACCCCGATTCAGTTCATGCATTCTGCTTACTGTATTCGGCCCTCATTTGGCCATATAAATTTATAATGCTATGCCAAATATTTGTTTTTTCATATTTGCAGATTATTATTGTCTGCCCATATGTTGGTTATACTTGTCTGTTTTGAACAGATTATCATTTATTACCTGGCCTCTTCCAGCCTCTGTACCTATATGTAGTCTATATGTATGCCATCTGGGTATTCAGGCACTTATTGGGCCTACATTGTTTAATAATTATATGGCTAGATGTTGCTACTGACTCTAAATTTATGTCAGGCCCAAACTTGGGGCCTATACATGTGGTTAGCATTTATGGTATTGCCTGTTAATAATCTTATTTCACTGTCCAATCACTACTTACATTGCTTAAACCCTTTCTAGGCTCCTCACAGGCCTGGTCAAGTGTACCGTAACATAATGTTGGTCATAATTATGTCTGTTCTATGGTTATATGGAAATATTCACGGCCCTCATCTAATATTATTTTTACACTTCAAATCAAGACATGCCACGAACTAAGTCCGCCACTTGGGTGTCACCAATAACATACTAAATTGCAACCGGTCTACTCAAATATTTTCAACATTCATTAGACCCCACTTAATTGTATCATTATGCACCTGTAACTTCTCATTAGATCCTCATTTGGCCACCCTGCACCTAGGCATTGTTATGTTGGGCCCTCATTTGGCCTTCACTATCATAGGAAAGTGTGAAAACAATATGTATACTTATCAATAGAGTGGTAACTGCTTACATGTAGAGAATTAAAAAAAAATATATATATATTTTTTTTTTTTTAAAGTACAACCTTTCATGCAAAAAAGGCACTACCTTTCAAGAAGAAAAAAAAAGATACAACTTTTGAGAGATGCAGGATATCACACATATACGTTTATGTTAGGCCCTCACTTGGTCTTCCACAACATATGTTTCATATGGCCCTCACTGGGCAACCTACTACAATCAGTGCCATGTTACTCAAGTGTCTCAACACTATCATCTCTAATTAACAGTCCTTGAAATGAGCTCTCTCGACCTTCTACTCCTATACCTTGACACACAGATCACACTAAGCCTTCACTTACATAAGCTTCATACGGTCCCAGGTGGGCTTACAGCATTTGATACAGTTCCACACAATAGATTAGTGTTCAAACTCAAAGAAATCAGCCTAGATGAAAATGCTTGTTCTTGGGTAGAGCATTAGCTTAAAAAAAGAGTAGTCATTAATGGTAAATTTTCAAGCTGGACAGAGGTGACAAGTAAAGTGCCCCACAGGGTTAGGTTCTGGGACCCCTTCTATTTAACATGTTTATAAATGATCTTGAAAAATGCATTGAAAGTCATGTTTCTTTTTTTTTTTTTTTTTCAATCTTTGTTTTTATTGAGGCATAGATTAAGACAGTACAGAATGCAAAACAGGGGGTTAGAACATATCATGCATCGTATACAAGACATATTCATTGCGTAAACTCCCTCTTGGGTCAGCCTCTTTTTATATTTTAAGGTAACAATGCAGGCTAAACTACTAGCCAACAGTGATGCGTCCGTCTAATTGTAAGGGATTTATAGGCTATTCAGTAGTGATGTCCCGAACTGTTCGCCGAACGGTTTGCGAACGGTTCGCCACAGACTCATCATTGAGTAAACTTTGACCCTGTACCTTACAGTCAGCAGACACATTCCAGCCAATCAGCAGCAGACCCTCCCTCCCAAACCCTCCCACCTCCTGGACAGCTCACTAAGAATGCAGCTTCACAATGGATGCTGTCCAGGAGGTGGGAGGGTCTGGGAGGGAGGGTCTGCTGCTGATTGGCTGGAATGTGTCTGCTGACTGTGAGGTACAGGGTCAAAGTTTACTCAATGATGAGTCCGTGGCGACCCGTTCGCGAACCGTTCGGCGAACAGTTCGGGACACCACTACTATTCAGGCATCACTCTGTGCTTAAACTGTGTGCTATAATGCAGGCTTTGAACATACATTTCTGGTAGCGTGAACACATATAAGGCTAGCAAGTTAGATAAACGTTTATGATTATACTAATTATATTAAGAAACAGGCTAGCCATGCTTGTCTAAAGATAAGTCGTAGGAGTTAAAAATAGATGTAGGCATAGAACAATGAACGATAAATGATATACGACAAAGACCTTGCTTAGTAGGCGTTAGCCCTGAAACAAGATTAATAGGCAAGATTAAGATTTGTGAGGCTTATACGTTACATATGCATATGCATTTCATTTAGTTATTTTAGATGAGTTAGTTAGCTCAATGCAAATCGTGAATAACAAATAAGCTTTTTCTAGAGTAAATGCTTGATGGGAGGTGTTGTGGAATGGAAACCAGGGCTTAGACATATTAACACATGTTGTAGTTTAAACTGATAACAGAGTCCTTGTAAACTTTGCTTATCTGCTGGGGAGAGAGTCCTCAGCAGTCCAGGGTTAGGCACGACATCCGTGTGGGTATAAGCGACAGGCGTCCCGGTGAAGTGTAAAAGTGATTAGAGGGAGGCAGCAGGTCAGCAGAGGTTAGTAGACTGAGAGTTTGTGTTACAGCACAGAGAACTTTCTCAGGTATGCAGGTGAGGTTCTTTGGTCTTAGCCCTTATGGGGGCCTGTGGTCAGCCGACGCCCGCTCTGTGGATCCGGTGGGATTGTGTGAATGTCACACGGGCCGGGAGACGTAAGCCCATTGTGTATATAGTCCCGATGCCCACATTGATTCTTGGTGTGCCTCTTGGGAAGTGAGTCCCGGTAGCCTTCTGGCTAGTGTGAGGGGTGTTGATTTTTTCTGTTTCTTCTCGCCGGGTCTTTTCTGAGGCCCGCGTGGGGTGTTCGCCTCTCCAGTTGTTCATACCTTCATGAGCGTGAGCTTGGGAGGTCGTGAGTTCCACCTGATGGACGGAGGTTTTGGGTGTCCCCGGGCGGTAAGCGGGTCGGGCGAGTTGGGCGGTCTCCCATTGATGTGTGGGAGAGTGAGTATTGGTGCCCGGGGGTATATCAATGTTTTCCGCCATCTGGGTCTGCAGTATCACCTCCATCAGGAGGTCGCTCTGAAGGCTTTGGGCGGGTGCCAGCATAATTGGCGCCAGTTTGTAGGGCGGATCCATGCTGCTGCTTGTTTCATCGTTATTTTAAAGGTCTGGCCTTTGGTATGGAGTTCTGTTCAGAGGCTTGCGCCGAGTCGGTCAAAAAACTCTAAAGTATGCTTGGGTGGTTTGATGTGGGGTCTCTCAGTCATGGGCCGCATCTGTGTGAAAGTCAACGTGAGCAAGATATTACTTTGCTGCAAAGGGATGTAGATAGACTGGGGGACTGGGCACTCAAATGGCAGATGAAATTTAATGTTGAAAAATAAGTTATGCACTTCGGCATAAAGAATGCACAAGCAACGTATACCCTTCATGGAAGCGAATTAGGAATAACAACAGATGAAAAGGACTTGGGAATTGTTATAGACAACAAACTATGCAACAATGTGCAATGTCAATCAGCAGTGGCTAAGGCCAGTAAGGTATTGTCATGCATGAAAAAGGGCATTCATTCTTAGGATGAGAATATCACTTTGCCTCTTTATAAATCACTGGTAAGACCACATATTGAATATGCTGTGCAATTTTGGTCACCTGTTCTAAAGAAGGATATTATGGCACTAGAAAAAGTGCAGAGGCGGGCTACCAAATTAATAAAAGGAATGGAACATATCAGCTATGAAGAAAGGTTAACTAATTTAAACCTCTTTAGTTTAGAAAAACGTCGTCTGAGAGGGGATATGATAACATTATACAAATATATTCAGGACCAATACAAACTATTGTGTGGAAATCTATTCACAAACCGGATTTTACATAGGACACGAGGTCATGCATTTAGACTGGAAGAAAGAAGATTTCATCTAAGGCAAAGGAAAAGTTTTTTTACTGTAAGAACAATAATGATGTGGAATTCTCTTCCTGAAGAAGTGGTTTTATCAGAGTCCATACAGATGTATACTTGCAAAAACAGAATATTCAAGGGTATAATTTTTCAATGTAGGATAATACCCCTCATTACACATTTAAAGGGACACTATAATCACCCAGACCACTTCAGCTCAATGAAGTGGTCTGGGTGCCAGGTCCCTCGGGTTTTAACCCTGCAGATGCAAACATAGCAGTTTCAGAGAAACTGCTTTGTTTACATTTGGGGTTAAGCCAGCTTCTAGTGGCTGTCTTCTGGACAGCCACTAGAGGCACATCTGCGACGCTGTAGGCATATTATGCCTCCATCGCGCAGAGCGTCCATAGGAAAGCATTGAAAAATGCTTTCCTATTGACAGCTTGAATGCGCGCGCGGCACTTGCCGCGCATGCGCATTCGGCTCCGCTGACATCGGCTTGGGAGGAGAGGTCACCAGCCCCGAGGGAGCCCGGTGCTGGAAAAAGGTAAGCTGCTGAAGGGGTTTTAACACCTTCAGCGCCCCGGGAGGGGGACCCTGAGGGTGTGGGCACCCTCTGGGCACTATAGTGTCAGGAAAACCGCTTAGTTTTCATGACACTATAGTGATCCTTTAACCATATTCAGGCCTCCTTGGTCTGTCACGGTTTTACCTAAGCCTTGTATAATCAAGAACTCCTGTCACAGGCACTTACTAGATCTTACAGACGTTGCTTCCTGCTAGTAAAATAGAGATGTTCCGATCTTTCTCGTACATACTTCAGGTATTATCTTGTGGAACGACGCACAGTGGGAACTCATAATTAGACACAGCACTACTAGGTATCTCTTTCATATCCAAATTGACAATCATAAGTTCTATTATTATCTAGGTTTCTACTATCCCTACTTATCATCCTGTTAACGTTTTAATCCTTAACCACAACACAGATATTTTATACATTTACCTCAATAAGCACTTACACCATACTGGACATATTTTGATGAATGGGATATACAAAACTGGAGAGAGAGAAGGTCCCACCAAATTTTTAGTGGTTGTGGGGTAATACAGGGCCTAACCCAGAGAAAGGAGATAATAGAGAGGACTTGAAAACAGGTCTGCAAGGAGGCACACCTGGTTCCAGTCCTATTACCCTAGAAATAGAAGGGTAATTGGCATATAGTGCCTAATTTACATAAGCATAGAAAATAAAAAACTTTATTGTCCAATATTGGATAAACACATCTAAATATCCCAGACACCAAAAAGAAGTGAAAAAAATAATCATAATGAAAAAAAAGAGATGATAGTAAGTATAAAAATAGGACCAATTGCTGGAGCTAATGTGTACAAAGTGTACTAATTACAAAATAGCCAGATAGTGATACTGATGAAGTGGAAACAGTATCTGAGGGGAGATATTCAGTGTGTATATATAGGTAGATGCAATAAGGTAACCCTAGTCGTACTGGCCAAGTGGCAACAGAATGGGTATATCTTATAACTAGTCAAGCTCAAAGTAATGTAAATCTGTCTGTGTGGTCTGAAGTAGATATTTAGTAGATAACCCCCAAAAAACAGGTTCTAGGATTCATTGGCAGATAAGGGATAGCATCCAGTATACTACTGCAGATGCCTAAATGGACTCTTAAAATAGATAGTGCACTAATAAATCTCTGGGTCACAGGATAGATTATTCAGTACTGTGCTGGAAGAGTCCCTGGGTAAAAGAGCCCACTAGAATGGATAGAGTAACTGAATGCTTTCTGTGGGTTTTTAGATTTAGACCGCTCTGCAGCTACTTTTAGCCTAGGGTTCGGGGTCTTTCTCAGGTATGGGTTTATCTAGCTCTTGATAGGCAGTTCATTACTCCTCCAGTTGAAGCACAGCATACCTGAGCAATACTGGATACCACAAGCATGAGAAGCACTCAGTTGTTCAGTTGTTAACTATTCCTTAAACTTAGCACAGCATACCTGAGCAATACCAGACACTACAAATATGATAAGCATTCAGTTGCTCTATCCATTCTAGTGGGCTCTTTTTCCCAGGGACTCTTCCAGCACAGTACTGAATAATCTATCCTGTGATTTACCCAGAGCTTTATAAGTGCACTATCTATCTTAAGAATCCATTTAGGGATCTGCAGTAGTATACTGGATGCTATCCCTTATCTGCCAATGGGGGTTATCTACTAAATATCTACTTCAGATTATATATACTTTATACTATATAGGTTTATTCAAGCCGGTTTTGTTTTTTACTCTTTGATACTTATGCCCTGAATTTTATCAGGGTAGAACGCTCAGTTACCTACATTTAGGTGCTGTCAGAGACTATCATAATAGGGGAGAAGCAATCTAATCTTTTATGTTATCCACTGTCAGTTTTCCCGATCATGATTCTATTTTATCTGGGATCTGCTGTGGACTTCCCAGATACTCTCTGAAAAGCCATACACCTATTTGATCCTGCTGTACTTAGAGCCACACAGACAGATTTACATTACTTTGAGCTTGACTAGTTATAAGATATACCCATTCTGTTGCAACTTGGCTAGTACGACTAGGGTTACCTTATTGCATCTACCTATGTATACACTGTATATCTCCCCTCAGATACTGTTTCCACTTCATCAGTATCACTATCTGGCTATTTTGTAATTAGTACACTTTGTACACATTAGCTCCAGCAGTTGGTCCTATTTTTATACGTACTATCATCTCCTTTTTTTCATTATTATTATTTTTTCACTTCTTTTTGGTGTCTGGGATATTTAGATGTGTTTATCCAATATTGGACAATAAAGTTTTTTATTTTCTATGCTTATGTAAATTAAGCACTATATGCCAATTACCTTTACTCAGTAATTTCCATTAGGGTAATAGGACTGGAACCAGGTGTGCCTCCT